TAGGAAGTGTTGCTGGCAATTTACTGCTTAATTAGGTAAAGTTCATTATTTTTTTTATCTAGGGAGTAGGGTTGACTCATGCCTTTGAGGCTGTGTGCGTCCTCAGATGTTTTGTGGGCCTGCAGATTGCTGCGACAAACAGTACAGTAAGCAACAGTCATTCCTTGCACTGCCTGTAGCCATCCTGTGCAGATTACTACACTAAAATGGGAGGAATTCTTGTCAATCTATTATCACATTTGCTCATCTTTTCACTGTGGATAGCAATTAAAGCAGTGTTTAATATATCAGAAACCATGTCGTGAAGTAATTTGCACTGCCTTGGCTGGAGGAACTGTTTTATACCTTTCTATTAATGATGCAGTTGATGACAATTTCCTGTGGAACATAATCTAGGCAGCAGAATATCAAATAAGCATTTTAGCATTGCTCTTGGGTGGTATTTGAGGAAGTGGATGTGGAAATTATAAATGCGAGGTGGGGCTTTTTATGTGGAGGAGATGGAAGAGTAGGTTTGATGCCACAAAAGAGAATGGTGGCCTCTGAGCTAACATGGAGACTAGGGTTTTTATCTTGAATACCTGTGCCATTTCAGCATGCTTTTCAAAGTGATGGTGGGAAATGTCAGAGCTGGGCACCTCTTGGTAATGGAGGTGGGGACCTGGTATGGCTTCAGCTGAGGGTGAGAGAGAGAAGTCGGAGGTGGTGTTGGATGGCTGTTGGCTCCAGATAAAATGAGACGTTGAAGCCCCTCGGAGATCTGTTTTAGGAACCTGGTGTAGGAAGAGAAGCATTTAGTGCCAGTGCCTAGGGGGCAGCCAGAAATAGGGAGGCCTTGTGATTGGCAGTATACTGATAGGGAGTGGGAGGTAGTCCCTGCCTTGAAGGCCTTCCAGTCTGAGTTGACAAGACGGACAAAGGTGTGGGGGAAGGGTTTAGAGGAAACTCATTAGTTGCATGTATTTTTGGAGAGCGTAGGTTCATGTAGAAGGAGGTACAGCAACTGGAGTGGAGGGGGGCTGAAGTGAAGAGGCTCGGGGTTGGAGCAGCAGCGCATTGAAACTTGGAAGAGGGGGTGGAGGAATCAGCAGTTAGCGGTCTTTGGAGGGGCACTTTCAAATCATAACTTGTAAGTAAATGTATACACCTGCGGAAATAGGTTGGATTATTAAAGGGACCCATCCACTTTGACACTGTCCCTTTGAATGCTTCTCACTATCTTTGTCACAAGCTGTGTCAGACGACTAGAAAAAGAAAAGAGCAGCATATTTCTATTGCCTTTAAAAAAAAAAAAAAGAACAACCCAACAACAATTCAAAAACTCTGTGGCACCACTTCACGTAGTGTCATTTTTTCATTGCTTCCCCATTCTGGTTAGTTCCTCTGTTTGTGTGCGTCTGTAACAAAGCAAAAGGGAAGGGAAACATTTTGAAAAAGGAAATGGGAAGAGGTAACGACAGAAACGGGTCAAGAAGGGTTCTGGGCCACATCTACAATATGCAGCTCAGTTGAATTTAATGGAACGGCTGGAATAAATATGAAATAAATGCAATAAAAATGAAACTGAGTGAGCCTGAAGCCAGGGGGAAATGTAAACATCCATTGTATGTGTAATTATGTTTGCTCTTTGCTTACACTTTACACTTCCTTTGGCTTGGAAAATGAAAATGCATGAAGTCAATGTCAGTATTGATTATAATGAGTTTAACTTTAGGGTTTTCCCTGCTAAAAGGTTTAAAACCCCATGCGGGAATATGTTTTGTCGGGATTTTTCAAACTATAGAAACGTTTCTTTCAAAAAACATTGAAAGCCAGCCTGGATTTGACAGGACCTCCTAAGGTAACAACACAGAAGTGAGCTGAAAATGGAAATTTCCCTGTTTACTGCAGTAACACCTAATCCAAAGTACTTGCTGCTTTTCTGAACTTCTTCTAACGTTGTCTGGCAGCAGGCAGGCAAGGCGAGGGAGCGAAGCGCATGGTAATTTGCTGCTTTCCCAGAGCCGTGAGCATTCCTCTGGACATTGTCATGATGCTGCAAGTGCCCAAGCCGAGGAGGAGGCAAAGTGCAACTGCTTGTTTTTGGTGCTACCGAAGAAGGAAAACAGCCCCATTTGCCAGCCACAGGAGTTTGGAGGCAGCTCGCTGCATGTTCCCATGCTTGGGTGGCTCAAGCAGCAGTGCTGTGGACTCTAGCTATCGAAGTAATTGTCGGTTGGGTGAATAATTAAGCTGTGTTTAAAATTCATGCGGCAATGAAGCCAAAGTTTTTCTGCTTTTCTTGTCTGTTAGCCACTTTTTTGGGAGGTTTATAGAGGCCGCTTTTAAGAGGATTTTTGTAGAGCTTGTGAAGAGTGCCTGGCTTGTTGTTTCTGGGAGAAAAACATGTCCAATTGATATCAAGTCAGCCTGTGAAGTTACTGACAGCCAGTAGGTCTGCTTCCTACTTAGCTGGAGAGTTTCAAGAGATAAGAGGCTGTGCTGTTTCCTTTTCCAGCTGACCCAGAGAAATGTCTGTTCTGTTCGTGAGCCTTGCTTGCTTCGTGGAGTTTCCCTGTAACACATCAAGAGTTGTCTTTTCATAAAAAGTTTTGAACCCAGGTGAAAAATGAACGTAGGTCTCCCAGAAAAATACCCGGGCTGTTTGCTGCAAGCTTTGGAGAAATGCTGAAAGCATTACTGGGTTTTATACATGTTGCAGAATGAAACTCTTCTCAGAAGAGAATTGTGTTAATGTTTGGTTCCCTGGTGTGGTTCACTTTGCAGCTGCTTTACTGCTGAGCATATTGCGACAGAGGTGTCAAAATCGGTGGGGTGACTTGACCACATGCTTCTCAACTACTTGTCTAGGTCTAAGACTCGTCTGCTGCTTCAAAATGGAGGGGGAAGTTTCACTGGTTTGTGTACCTGTCGTTTTGGGGGACAATTCACCCATCTGAAACTTCCCTTCGCTTCATAGAGATGGAGTGTATACTGAAAGAACTAACATGAGCTGTTGGAAGCGTTGTTGGAAGATGTAAGTTATCTTCTCAGGCTCTTTCTGCACCTACCTGCAGGCGGAGTGAAATGCTAAAACCTCCATTTCAAATTGGTTATTGGGTTTTCAGTTAGGGATTTTGAGAGGGGAGAGTAATGGGTTGCCTGTCAGGGAGCCACTTGTACCTCTCAGGGTGCTATGCAATGGTAAGTAGCGATCACCAAGTTTTGTGCCAGTACTGTAATAATGCACAAAGGCCCCCAGTTGTTCTTGAAGCTTTTTTTCCTGTCGGTCTCCCTAAGGCCGGCTGAATTTGCTGCAGCATTCTTGGGAGATCTGCTTTGTAACATACTTCTGAAGAACAGTGCCACCACTTTAGACTCCATTCATGTCTTCCGATATTAAGCAGTTGAAGCAGTGTTTGCATTTCAGTAAAAAGCTTTAGGAAATTGTACCTGTGTTTTTGCACAGTCTTCCTTTTAAGTTTGAGTTAAATGCTAAAGACCCAAATGGTTAGTTCTGTCTTGTTCCCAATTGCCTGGTTTTGTCTCTCATAAAGATGGCTAGAGAATTAAAGCCTGCAATTGCTTGGCCATGCTGAGCCAGCCTTTCAGCACTTAGTTGTAGCTGAGAGAGCACTAATAACTTCTACAGTTGCCATTATGCCATTC